TGTGTGTGTGTGTGTGTGTGTGTGTGTGTGTGTGTGTGTGTGTGTGTGTGTGTGTGTGTGTGACCAGCCCTGAGCTAACATCCGATGCCAGTTCTCCTCTTTTTTGCTGAGGAAGACTGGCCCTGGGCTAGCCTCTGTGCCCATCTTCCTCTACTTTATATGGGACGCCGCCACTGCATGGCTTAGCAGGCGGTGCGTTGGTGTGCGCCTGGGATCCGAACTTGTGAACCCCGGGGCCACCGCAGCAGAGCGCAAGCACTTAACCGCTACGCCGCCGGGCGGCCCCTGCCAAACTCTTTTTATATGCGTGTTGCTGACAGACGCTTCTTTTCCGTGCAGTGGTGTTCTTTTCCTTGTTCTGCTAATAATCAGTAATTTATCATGTGACCTCAAGTATGAATTAGGGGTTGAGAGCGCTTTTGAAGAGCTTCTCTGCTCTAGATCCTCCCTCTTAGAGAAGGGCTGAAATCATGCTGCACAGTCAATTGCTATCTGCTGTTAAGGTTAAGAACCTCCTTAGGGAGCCTTTTCTAGAGTTTCATCCCCACCTCGCTGTGAGGTTGCTGCAGGTTTCTTTACTCTATCTGGGAGTGATTTAAGTCTGTTTCTACTCGCTCTGTTTTCCTCCAAGATAGGGAGGAATTTGTCAACATCATCTTCAGAACATTTCACCTGCTCAGACACGTCAGCCTCTTGCTCCCAAAGATAAAATTGTTAACTGCTTTGGCTTATGTAGACTATCTTTTCTATCCATTCACAATTTTTTTCTTCAACAGCTCTACAGGCTCATCTTTTTTTGTAAGGAAAAATTTTAACTACTTTATCATGTTATAAACATTATATTCTTATATAAATGTGCAAAGTGCAGAAAAGCAGGAAAAGAAAAGAAATATTATCCATAATCCCACTGTTTTGGAGGTGTTGGGTAGGTGTAAATTTTCTTTTTCCCAGAAAAGAAACGTTTTTTAATTGAGAATAATATACATGATAAAGATGTACTGATAGAAAAGGAGAGTGAAAAGCGAGTCACTCTTACACCAGATATGCTTAGATCAGCTTTATAGGACTTGCCCCTATCAACCTTGTTTGTGCTTGTTTGTTATGCCCTTCTTGAAATTTTTAACAAAGGAACAGCGCACTATACGCACATTGTCTTATACTTTTTTTTTTTTAACTTAACATTTTGGAGGTTTTTTCATATCAGCCCAGACAAGTCTCCTTCTTCCTTCACTGACCACACGGAGGCCCTTTGTCAGGGTGTGTCGCGCTGTGTGTAGCTCTCCCAGTGTGGTTGCAAGTGTCCTTTGCTGTCACAGACAGTGCTTGGTGAGCATCCCTCCGTGCCTGCAGCTTTCTTTACACTTGTAAATGTCTGTAGGAAGACCCCAGCAAGTGGAATTTCTGGGTCAAAAGGTATAGAATGCAGATAAAATGGTTGGAAATTTGCCTAATTGTTCTTTAAAGAGACTGTATCTATTTTTGACTTCAACAATAATATTTAAAATGATTATTTCTCCATATTTTTGTTATTTCTCATGTTTGCTTACTTGGACATGATTAGCAAAAGTATAAACTTTCTGCTTTCTTATGGGATTAATATGTGTTCATTGTGTCAGGGAGAAACTAGAAATCACTAGTAATTCTACCACTCTAGATAATGGCTGTTAAGACTTCTTTCTAGATATTTCTGCCTGCTTTGTTCCCCCCAGCATCCCTGGCCCAGGGCCTGGCTTGTGGAGAGTACTTGATGAGTGTGTGCCTGAGTGAAAGATGGGCTCACGCTGTCTGTGTTTGCCAGCTCAGGTGTTCTCACCCTTCTCTGTACAGTGTGGGAGGTGGGTCTGTGTGTGGTCACCTGCCCACGTGGAAGACAGCAGGCAGAACTACTCCTGCTCTTGGGCTGTGCAGGATCACCTGAAAGACCTGGTTTACCTGGTGGAGCGCCACCCAGGAAAAGTGGTTCTGTAAAATCCCGCCGATGTAGTGTATGAGGAGTTGAGACTTGGTCCTGTACTGTTTCTGTTACCCGTTTACAAATGAGTATCATGCGGTGCTGGCCATAAATGAGTGTCGTCAAATATGTATTGCTAGTGTTTCTGTCCTGTAGTGAGTGCTTGGCGCCAGTATTTGCATCTACATGTTTTAGGTTTTAGATGTGAGGAGAAAATCCTTAATTACTTATAGCTTACTCTTTTATATAAAGCTTGTTCTTAAAATAGAAAATTAAGTATATTGCATATCTCCACGAAAGTTTATAACGTAAGGATCAGTTTATGCCCATTATGCTGTTAATGCTTAGAGCTATTACTGAGATAGGAATTCATTGAAAATATAATTTTATTTCTTTTTCAGAAATATCCTGTATTACCATACTTGGTTTTAGTATTGAAACAATTCTTATTACAGAGGGACCTTAATGAAGTATTTACAGGTGGAATTGGTTCTTATAGTCTCTTTTTAATGGCAGTCAGTTTCCTTCAGGTAAGTTGTATAGTTATACCGTGCTAATATACACTAAAATTTAAAAAAATAAACTAATTGGGGAATATTTTGGAAAAAATTTAAATCAAGCTCTAATTGGAATGCTTCCCTTCATTACTTATGACTTTTCCCTTTAAATGGGGTACCTTGTTATAATTTAGCAAATAAGTATTTTAAAATGCCAAGGAAAGAATTTTTATTTGTTTTTAATCCCACATGTTCTAGTATTTTTGAGACTTTTTACCACAAATTTTAACATGCAAAGGTATGGCATTTCCATAAGTGTAAACAGTAGTATAAATACCAAAAATAAGAATGTCTTCTAAGCAACTAATTTTGTAAGTTTAGCTGGAATTGAAACCTACTATCTGGATAAGATGAATTAGAAGTCTTAATATTGTCAGTGAGTGTATTTATGTCACACAGTGTTGCCAACTGGCTGACTCTGCTGGTGAGTCAGAATGACTCCCTTGCTGTGTTGGGCCAAGCCAGCCCTGTCGTCGTCCTGGGGCAGCTGTAAAATCCAGCCTTACAAGTCCCCCACCAGTTCCACACCCTCGAGGCCGTAGTGTTGTATACAACAGCAGTATAGCCTGCTATTACTCCATTATCTATTGGCTGCTGTGCTAAACCAAAATTATAATAGTACTGTTTATAGAAGTTAGGATGTCATTTATTATCTCCACCTTGATAATTTAGAGAAACTCCAATATAATTTTTTTTTTTTTTTTTCTGGTTTCAGTTACATCCCAGGGAAGATGCTTGCATCCCCAATACAAACTATGGTGTTCTCTTAATAGAATTTTTTGAATTATATGGACGACACTTCAATTATTTAAAGACTGGCATCCGGATAAAGGATGGTGGTTCATATGTGGCCAAAGATGAAGTACAGAAAAATATGCTAGATGGCTACAGGCCATCAATGCTTTATATTGAAGATCCTTTACAACCAGGTATTGACATTAGGTAAATCTGTGGGCATTCAGAGAAAGGGCATTGTCAGTCACTTTATTGTACTTGACACTCTCTTTAAATGAAAAATTAAGGATTAACTTCTAATTATAGTCACTCTTTTTTCATCAAAATATTTTATAAGCAAACATACCAAAATAAACAAACACACACTCCATAAAAATGGTACATGCTTCCAGATGAGTTGGGAGTAGAGTCCGTTTGACTGTGAAAGGCGAAGGAGAAATAGGTCTTAGCCATTTGGGTGGGTCTGTGTGCACCTCCTGTCTGTCGGCCAGTCTTCTTCCTTATGTCCTCAGTGCCCTGGTTCCAGCCAGTTTTCAGCCACGGCTTTAATGTGAGGATTCTGAAGGCCTTAGCAGCAGTGAGCACAGTAACATATCTCAGAATTCATGAGCAAAAGGGTTCAAAGAGACAGTTTATTTTCTTTTTGGACCCCTTCTTTCCTCTTTAATTTGCATAGTCTCCCTTTTTCCAGTATTATGTTGGCTTGAAAGTAAAGAGAAAATAACTTCCTTCCATGCTTCCATGAAGTTAATGTTTGCATGGTTTGTATCCCAGTTTTTTGGGGCAATATTTTTTCCTGATAAAATTGCAAAATATTTAAAATCCGCATTATCGGACTTCAGTGGAAATGCTTTTAGTCGTTTGCTTTAATGAGTAAGGAAAGGGAGTTGAGAGATACAGTGGTTGCCTAGGAGCCCTTTTCTGGCTTGTTGAGCCATCTTATAAACATCAATAGCTCTGTGTGTTTATTCATTGAGGAAATATTTATTGGGAGCCTACTCTATGTAAAGGACACAAAGATTTTTCAGCAAGATGGTCCTTGGTTTTTAGGAGCTCATAATTTAGTGCAGGAGATATCTGTCTAGCTAATAGAAACAGAAGAATAGGTATTTCTAATTTAGCTTGGTTTCCCTCTTAGGAGGAACAGGCAGTTATTTCTTTTGTTTACATGACTGTGTATGGGCTAGTCCCTGTTGGGCAAGAATACATTTAGGCAATTTATACGCCATAATAACATACTTACTGCATGATACACACGTCCAGAGACTGGGGAACTGTGAGGACGACCGACAGCCCAGATTCTGAGGCAACTCCAGTGGGGTAGTCATTGTCCTCGCTCTCCCTGAAGAGGGCTCGTGAACATTTAGTTCATATTAAGCAACGGTCAACCTTACTGTTTTTTATGTATATTTCTTTTAAGGTAATGATGTTGGAAGGAGTTCATATGGGGCCATGCAAGTGAAACAGGCCTTTGATTATGCCTACGTTGTTTTGAGTCACGCTGTATCCCCAATAGCAAAGTACTATCCCAACAACGAAACAGAGAGGTAAAAGTTGAACTAAAATCAGTCCATTGCATCAAAATTGGTTGTGGCTTCTTATCTTCAAATTAATGTACCCCCGTGTTTTTTTTTAAACCTATGTAGCATATTAGGTAGAATAATTAGAGTAACGGACGAAGTTGCCACATACAGAGATTGGATATCAAAGCAGTGGGGCTTGCAGAATAGGCCTGAGCCTTCATGCAATGGTAAGAGTTTTTCTTTGATTGATTGACCGCATATTAGAGACTTTTCTATGTTGTGTGTGTTTAATAGGAAGAAACGTTTTCCAATCTTTTGCCACTCTTTCAGGAAATGGTGTTACCTTGATAGTAGATACTCAGCAGTTAGATAAATGTAATAATAATCTATCTGAAGAAAATGAAGCCCTTGGAAAATGTAGAAGTAAAACTTCGGAGTCTCTTAGTAAACACTCTTCAAACTCTTCATCAGGTCCAGTGTCTTCCTCTTCTGCCACACAGTCCAGCTCTAGTGATGTTGTAAGTATGAAGACAGGACTTCTCTAAACCTAGACACTAGAGATCTGTTGCTGGGGATCGCTCTGTCTAGAGGGCTAAGGCTAACTCATTTTCTTATTCGTTACTGGGAAACTTTAGTAACTTTCATGATTGTACTTTTTCTCAGCATTGTATTAAAATTTTCTAGCATGCAGCAAAAGTGGAAGAATTTTAGTGAAAATCCATATACACCACTGGATTCTACCATTAACATTTTACTTGCTTATCACAAAGTTAGCCATCCCTCCCTCTATCCATTAATTCATCTTATTCTTTGATACATTTCTGAGTAAATTACAGTCATTAGTACACTTCCCCCGAAGTACTGTAGTGTGCTCATCATTAACCAGATTTTAATATTTGTCTGGTTTTTTCTTGTGATATAAAAGTGACATAAAAGGGAATCTCAATTATACAGTTACTAAATTTAACAAATGTATACACATGTATAACCCCAAACTGTAACAAGATATAAATATTACCATCACCCCAGAGAGTTCCCTTATGATGCTTTCTGGTAGTCCCTGAGCCCACCCTCAGAGGTAACCACTGTTATGATCTTCTAATACCATAGATTAGTTTTGCCTGTTCCAGAATTTCACATAAATGGAATCATTATAGTATATACTCCTTTGTGTAAGGCTTCTTCTGCTCAGAATAATGTTTTTGAGCTTCTTCATTTAATTTTTAAAAATTGAGATATAATTCACATAACATAAAGTTTGCCATTTTAAAATGTACAATTCAGTATTTTTTAGTATATTCACAGTGTTGGACAGCCATCACCACTATATAATTCCAGAATGTTTCCATCACCCCAAAAGGAAATCTATTAGCAGTCCCTAACAATTCCTCCCTTTCCTCATCCCCTGGTAACCCCTAATCTACTTTCTGTCTCCATCCTGATTGAAGTTTTAGTGTGTTACATCTATAGTTACTTTTCCTTATAGGGTTAATTTTGAGTTTACTTAATTGAGATCTAAAATAGACTGACCCATTATTCGAATTTTTACTTTATTAAGTAAATGACATAAAAAGTAATCTAAATAACATAATTTTATGTTGTTGACAATGACCATGTATCATAATGGAATCATAAATCCTCATACAGAATCTACCTGTGTGCCTTTTTGGTTCCTAGAGCAGACCTGTGGAAGACAGATGCTGAGCTAGATGTCACAGACACAGTGGGGCAGAAGCAGAGACGCAAGTGTTAGGGACTGAGCGTATGTGACTCTGAGACGCTGGGTAGAGTGTGAGGGCGAACGGTAGCCCTGAGGAGAGAAGTAGCGCAGTCGTGACCCAGGCAGCCCAGAAACAGGTGGGCTCAGCCCATCATCTCTGGGAGTCCCTGTCCACGTGGTGTGTTTGGTTGGAGGGATCACTGATTTGTCATCACAGACTCTCAGAGATTGAGCTCCTTAACCTGGTCTGTTTGTGTTTGATGAAGACATTGAGTCAGGGACTGGGACCTAGGTCCTGATTCTTTAAGATGCTCTTTCCACGATCCATGGTTCATTTTCTGTAAATGAAAATGCAAATAAACTTGGACCTCTGTGAGCTCCTTCAAGGCCGATTAACAAGGTCCTGCGTGGGCAGTGGATTTAACAATGAATAGAAGCCCTCTGATAGAATAAGCCATTTTAAATGTTTGGAGGAAGACTTAAGCATTATGTTATAAATTCCTAGTGTGCTTCCTTTAACCCTCAGTGTTTAAATTTAGTCCAGAGAATACTTAGTTGAAATTGTTTTCCTTTCTTAATATTGGATATCTAAATTCTTAATATATCACGTTATAACTCATGTGACTTGTGTTAGGATTCTGATGCGACACCATGCAAAACCCCAAAACAGCTGCTCTGCCGTCCGTCCACGGGGAACCGAGTGGGGTCACAAGATGCGTCCTTGGAGTCTTCTCAGGCAGTGGGGAAGATGCAGAGCACCCAAACCACTAACACGTCCAACAGCACCAACAAATCTCAGGTGTGTGGAATTTGTGTTTTTAAGTTTTAGTGTTCAATACAGAGTATTTAGAATTTCTTACATGTGAATGATATATATACATCATGGGTTTGAAGAAAACTTTAGGTTAAAGAACAAACCTATTTTGTTTTAAGAGGTTCCAAAACATGACAGTGCTTCTAGTAACAGGATGTCCTGAGGATCTTTACGAGACACCATTGTAACATAAAGCTTGGTGGGAATTTAGTGACTGGTCCATGTAAGATGTCCCAGCCAACCTACTTTATTATAGATTCAGCATAAAAAAATCACATTAAGTTATAAAAAGGTTTCCATGGTACTTGAAGTAAACTCACATGAAGCTTTTGCATGACTTCATGGCAATATTGTGCATATCTGGAAATAATGTGTCCTTTTTTTTATATTTTAATATTTAATACCTAGTTGCCTGTGTTAAAATGATCAGGCAGTGATCAGCCATGGTCAGTCAGCTAGCATCAGCTTTGACTTAAAAAGGCCACAGAGATACTCTGTTTTAATTTTTTTAGTTGCCTAAAATTTTAATAATCATGATTAACGAATCAAAATGAGGGGAAGAAGCCATTTCCTATTGGGCTCTGGCCTAAGGCCATGCCACCCTCTCCAAGTACAGTGGGGGCCCTGGGGAAGAAAGCCTGTTGGCAGTAGAGATTGAGTGTCAGGTCAGTCACCTCGTGTCTGACTTAACTTGCAGAATGGCCAGCGTGACAACCCCTGACCTGGCCGCGCACCTGCGTGTCTAAGAGCTTCTTCCAGGAAGATGTTTTCCATGTGGCATATCATTGATAGGTTCCTTAAGAAAAGTTTTATGTTCCATATATTCTGTTAAGAAGGCAAGGCAGTGGTCTATGTTTTTCAATATTTCCATGAAAAAGTTTTAGAGCTCAAGAGAGTTCACTCCTGTAGCATCGTTTTCTGCCTACTAGATAAGTCAGCATATTCCTAGTTGTGAAAGCTCCCCAGGTCAGGTCTTAGCGAGCACTCTGTTGAGTCCACCATACTGATATCTTTTGACCGCTTTCCTTTTCTGCAGCATGGATCAGCAAGGCTCTTTCGTTCTTCCAGCAAAGGCTTCCAAGGTACAACTCAAACGAGCCATGGTTCCTTGATGACAAACAAACAGCATCAAGGCAAATCAAATAATCAGTATTACCATGGCAAAAAGAGGAAACACAAGAGGGACGCCCCCCTCTCAGACCTTTGTAGATAGTCGGCGTTGTGCGATGGACTGTCTTCTGTGTGCAATGATCTCATGCTCAGGACAGTTGGATAGGGACTCCTGGGACACATTCGGGAGCCTTACACTGTTCAGACGTTGATTTAGCAACTGCGTTTTTTCCCAGCTCGCCACGGAATGGATCATGAAGACTGACAACTGCAAAAACAAAAAGCAAGCAAAAAAGGGGAAAATAAAAAAGGCTGCTCATTTGATAAGTCATATGCTACAACAGGGTCATTTTAAGATTTAAAGCTTGAATGTAAAATAAATATATTTCTCATTGGCTTTATGCAGAGTTATAGGGAATAGTATTCAGTGTGGGTAGGGTGATAGAAACAAAACACAATTTCAGAGGTTGGGGTGGGGAAGGAAAACAAAGGTATCTTATAGAAAGTCCAGATTCCAAAGGGGAAAGTGATCTGTGCATGTTTTTTTGTTTTTTTTTTTTAATATTTTTGCATATATTTACCATTTTATTGTGTGTATATATAGATGACCATATAGGAAATTGATATTTGTAATAGTGGATTTGTTAATACTTTTTACATAACATTACTGTTTAAATTGTAAACAGATTTTTCTCAGGATTAGTTTGAAAAATAATCTGAATTGTCATCTTAACATCCATATATAGGGAAGTGATTAGTTCTGTTACTCAATTTGTTTTCCTCAGCATTGAAATGACTTAATAGAACCCTTGTGACCTGCTGCAAAATTTTTTCCTCTCTAAAGAGAAGGTTTATGGTGGCAAATGACGTTTATTTTATTTTGTAAAAAAAAAAAAAAAAAAAAATGTACTATGTACTTTTGTGTAAACACTGAAAACTCTAGTCATCTCTAAAAATTAACTTGCAACTGTTTTCTATAGTGCTGTCGTCTTGGGCAGTGGGCAATTACATGACTTTGTGTTTGTTTCCTTTGCAGTCTTTTTTTTTTTTTTTTCCTTCCTAATAGGAAAAAAAAGGCCACCCGTGCCTGGTCCCATTCCTGTTGCAGTGAAACCTCAAGTTCCACAGACTTTGCATGCTGGCTCCTCTAACCCTGTGTGCTGCGTGTGCTTGTTTTTCTCATCTCTTATTCTTTTTTAAATTCATGCTTAATTACTGTGGGAGAGAATAACTGTAAACAGCTTTAATTAAATCATACTTATAAAAAACTATTTTCTTATACTCCACTTTATGCTTTTGGTATTGTTGATCTTTAAAAATTAAATGGTCTTTGATAATGGATCTATTTTGTATTGCCTTATTAAGACCAAATACTTCTTGTCATCCCATTCTTTATCCTCTCCTTTCATGGAATTGTTATCTTTAATTAAAAATTTTTTAAACATTGGCTTGTTTCAATCATACTGTAAATTTTGGTTGTGGTCAGCTTTGAGTGCAAATGAGATGTATAATTCTGTTATTCATCACATGTTGAGTTTGAAACTCAGTTGGAAATATTTAATATAATAGAATGTAAGTGACATTTCTGAAAATGCTTTCCTTCAAGTGAAAGCTCTTATGTTTAGCATCATGGTGTGTGGCTCTGTTAATTACAGCCATTTCTGAGATGAGATTCTTTTACATATATATATATATATATGTATATATATACATATACATATAAAGTACCATTGGCTTTTAGGAATTTCTTTTATATACATTTGTGAAATACCGAAGACCAATCAGACCATTAATGAACACTTAGTACAACTTTTTATAAAGAAAATAATGCTAAAGTAAGACCAAAACTGATGTCATCACTGAAATTAACAGTTTTCAATATGTTCGTATTTTAATTCACCATGGAAAAATGTGTTCGAAAACTGGAAACTCATAATACTTGTGTAAACCGTGGAAGATTTTAAATGTGATGTTATTTTGACAATGTTTTAAATTTTAGAGTCACATTTTATTCTGATCAGAATTTTTATCAAGATGTTGAGCTTTTGTTTTTCGAAACTAGTTTGTCATAACATATGTGCATAATCACAGTATTTATTTTCTAGGACTATTGTGAATGTGTAGACTTATGTTTACTGCTAAGGGAACAATTATTTATAAAATAATATTAAATCCAGTATTAGCTGCCTATTTCAGACACTCAGTACTTGCAGAGATCCATGTTACATTTACCACACTGAAGTCTTTTTTTTTTTTTAAAGAATCACCCTCATTGTTGACAATAAATGTACTCTGAGGGTGCGGATATTAGTGTTCCAATAAGCATGTGATTATATTAAGGTGGTGGTAGCGGGAAGATAATCTTGATTCCATTGGGAATCTTAGGTTTTCGTAAATTTATTGGGAAAATAGTTTTTCCTGTACTGCTGAAGTTTCTTTTTGGTAAACAGTATCTTTCTAAAAGAAAAAGCATGAAGGAGAAATTGAGGTGTGTACATTTCCTCAAATGACCAGCATTGTATTCGTGAATACTGTGTATCTTGCAATGAACAGTGTGGAAGCTGTTCATTTTTCAATCTGAAGTAAAGTACTTTCAAGAACTTTTAGTTTGCCTGCTCATTTGTTTTGTACATTTCATCTCTGTATTTGACTCCTGTCTTTTTTCTTTTTTGAGTTTTAATACTTTCTATAAAGATTTTGTGAATATATCAGAAATGTGTCATTTAAATATTATAGTCCATCCATATCCATAAATCATAACCTTCCTTTGCTAGTATTTGTAGAACGGGATTTTACAAATTCTGCCTCACTGTGGTGACATTTCTCTGGCGGTCATGTATGTGTACCTGGGCAGTGTTGAAGCTACTTAAAAAGTCATAATAAACGTTTAAATACTGGTTTTTAGAGGTGCTGATGGGTCAAAGAGGTGTCAGCACAAAAGCAGAGTGGTTATGTTTTGATGATAAAGATAAATGCATTTTTCCTCCAGTTTTAAGCTGTCCAGGAAGGTGCCTGGTTTTTAGTGTCTTTGTTTTGTTTGGAGAAGTTGGCGCATGGTTTTCAAAGCTAGCTCTGATCTGTGGGATCTGCTGGTTTTACGTGTAGTTGCCCAGCAGTCTTCAACAGTTGATCGTATTATATTTTTGTCCTATTTTGAGTGTGTTTTACCTTTACTTGCATTTTGAGCCTGTTGTGAATATTTAGATTATTTGCTTTGGCTCAAGATGTTCCTGGATAAAGTCTTCAGAGAGCAAAACATGGGCGGTAGGGAGAGCATTTTTGATAGTCTTTCTCCTCCGGAGTCTTGTATCTCCATGTGTTTTCTTCTCATTCCCTCCCCCATGTAATGGTAAGTGTGAGTTGTGTTTGCCTTAACCTGTGGACTAGCGTTTGGGGTTTCCAGAACCGTAGGTGGGTCAGAAGAGAGTCTGACTGCAGTGGGCTGCAGGACCCTGTTGCTGTGACATGTGCTCATTGCCATGTCCTCCCCAATGACTAGGGTGTAGTTATCAAGGTTGCTCTGGAGAAATCCCCATTACTGGGTATTATTGTAAGTTTTGTTGATATTTGTATTATTCATAATACATCTCAATTTCATTTTAATATTGATCTACAATTTGAAACTGATTAATTCCTTCAATTATAATATGCTGTTGATTTCTTAGTGTTTCAGTCACTAAGAATGTTGATAGGAAATTGGTTGCTTTTCAATTAACTTTTCAAAAATTAAATGGTAAATGTTAAAAAAGACATTCCCAATTTTGCTGTGATAAATATTGAAATGTGAAAATTAATGGTCAGAAGAGTTTATTCTTATCCGTCAGTTCTTGCTCTCCTAGCTCATTAAACTGTTACAGTTAGTGGGAAGCAACATTCTCATAAAGTATTTCGTGAGCAAAGTATTCTATAAATGGCTCTGTTAAACTTAATTGAGTAGAAAAGTTATATTTAGTAGTCATTCTTTATCCTAATGTTCATCAGTGACACAGTCCATCTGGTGAACTATTAGACGATGATGTAGCATTCAAGCAGGAACGAGGACATGTATGGGCAGTTCCTTGGAAGTGGTGTCTTCACCTTGCCACGGCTTCTAAACCCCAAGATTCTAGCTACCTGCCGTTCTGTCAAAACATTTATGGGCAGAATAAATGTTAGAGAACAAATTTTAATATGCTCCTTGATATTTAACGTAACTAAGAAACAAGCCAGATTTTACTGTGGAAGTTATTTGCATGGCTCAAAAAGCATTCTGACGTAACCCAGAAGCCTCTTCCTGGACCATCTTCTTGTGAACCTTCTTGACTTTATTCCTTAAGCACCTTTTTTTCATCAAAGATAATAAGTTAAATATCTGTATAATTTGTTGACAAAATTATTAAGCAGAAAATCTACTTATAAAGTCTGCTGATCTATTTGATAACCAGAATTAAATATTTACTTGAGGACATTTTTAATTTAATAAACTGCTAATGTTTCTTTTACTCTTATGTCAGGTTTTTTTTTTTTTTTTAAGTAGTTAGCTTTTACATTTTCTACTTAAGTATGTGCCTTATTAAGTGTAACCCAGTCCATAGTCTGCCAGCCTGAAGGAGATAACCTTTAGAAAGAGGTTGAGGGCCAGCCCCGTGGCTCAGCGGTTAAGTGCGCGCGCTCCGCTACTGGCGGCCCGGGTTCGAATCCCGGGCGTGCACCGACGCACCGCTTCTCCGGCCATGCTGAGGCCACGTCCCACATACAGCAACTAGAAAGATGTGCGACTATGACACACAACTATCTACTGGGGCTTTGGGGGAAAAAAGGAGGAGGATTGGCAATAGATGTTA